GACCACTTTCTCGATCCTGTTGTGGTTGGTAGGAGCATTTCTAGATGGCCTGGAAATAAATCAAAATAGATTTTTCTTTTGCTGTTCCTCGCTATAGAAGTTCTTTATGACAGTTTCAAAGAGTTTGACACAACTGCACAAATTAGGACTCAGCTGCATAATTCGTTAAAAATACATTTTAGTCACTATAACTAGATCACAAAATTGTTGTTCCGTGCAACTTCGCCTAACATTATTAGATGGAGAGCCAACAGAAAAGCTTTCTGTATCATCAGACTTCCTCCACTGGTGCTGTTTATCATCTCCCTTGCAGACTTCGACTCTGCAAGACCAGGTTTTGAGACATTTCCCTACCGTAGCATCTGTCTCTCTATGTAGTCCTATATTTTTTAGTGGAACTGCTTTTGGAGCAAGTTTACTGTTCCGTGTGCATGTAGGAATGCCACTAAGTCGGTCCTACGTGATTTGACGAACAAATTACGTTAATTATTACTTTGTAACTGGCATTCTCTTGTGCACCCTGTGTTCGACTTTATGGAGGTTAATTTGGGGAAACCACCATGGAAGGTGAAGGCAAATACAGTGTGTTGCACTTTTGTCCTGAGATCTTTCCACTGCAGTCTAAGGGATTACACCAGCTAAGAATGACTGTACTGGCTGCATGAGATTGCGTTCTTGAAAATGACTATATAAAGTATAAATTAATTAATTATGTATGTATAGCATTTTTTTAATGTCCTTTGATACCAGATCCTGTTTGACAACAGCTGCCATCTGCCTGTGGAGAAACTGGTGTGTTATGGTTGTGGTCACAGTGGGGAAACACGGAAGCAAAGGCAGAAATCTAGGGTAGACTGCTGATCACCTGGTAATAAAATACAAGAATAAAAATCTTATAGCCCTCTAGATTAGCAGCTTACAGTGCATTACCAGTGGTTCACTCTGTTCTCTGCAAGTGGTATTTCGACAAATTGTCCTCTGATGTAAGGTGTAATGTTCTCGTTAACTGATTGGTACACCTCCTATTTGAAAATGTTTTGTCATTCTAAATTCTTTCAGGACTGTGGTGGACTGTTGCAAAATGATTGACTCCATCACTTTATTTCAACAACTATGCAAAAATAAAGTATTTTTAAAATTTAAAATGAACTCAGGCACTTATATTTGCAGTTAATATATTTTGGCAATCTGTCAAAGTCTAGCATCAAACTATTAAAAAAGTAGGGAATAATAAAATAACATATCCTGGAAATCCCCACTGACCCATCCATTATATATTTTTTATTAGGTTCTTAATGGTAAACTGCCAAAAGACACCAGTGAGTTAGATATATTTTTTTTTAACATCTTCCGCTTTTCTCCCAAGAAAGAAATCTCTGTCACTTCCTATTGTTGAAAAATTCCATGAACTTTCATTTTCAACGGTTAGCATTTTGCTAAGGTTTTAATAGATTCCTTTTTTCTTAAGACTTAAGACTTCTTTATTTGAAAAAACAAGAACTTCCACTCTTAGAACTCCATTGTTAAATACTTTGTGACCTTAAGTCTGCGGTATCTAGTTCCCTGTATCCAATTTTTCACAGCTCAAAATGAAGTCAATTGTTTATTCAGTTGTATACGATGAACAAAGTTACAGTGCCCTACCTTTAAGCGTGACAAATGGGCATAAAAGGAGGGTGACTGGAGCTTCAGTGGATAGCGGAGGTCCTGCACTTCACACCTGCTTGCACAGAACTTGTAGAACAGGCTGAAGTTTCACAGGGGATTTTGTTTTGCAAAACTATCATCAACAGTTCATTGAATAATCTGAGAACTCAAAATGAATTTGTGTATCACTTGTAATATCTATGTTATTTGGTATATATGATACACTTTTGAGTTTGTGTATCATGGAGGTCAGTTTGGCTTTGTGTCTGCTCTTACTGAAGTCAGTCCAAAAATACAATTGAATTTTATGTTGTTCTAATACGCTTCCACTGAGTAAGAATCATCAAAATACTCCATACTTCGTAGAAAATTATGTTGGATCTCTCAGCAGTTTCCTGCAGACAGTAGGGAAAAGTTTTATTATGCCAAAAGTGAATATATTATTTCATTCCAATAAAAAACACCTACTGCTATAATAAACAGCTCATATAAGACATCAGGGGGAAATTTCAACCATATGTGGTTGTTCAAGCCATATGTCCTGGTAACAAGCAAGAACACTGATGTGGTTTGTTCATCCATGGTCAGGTACGAGGCCTGTTTGTGGCTTACTTAAAGAAATAGAGCTACATGGTAAATACAGGGAAAAAACTGCATTTTGTGCTCCAACAACGGGGTTACACCTAGGAATGCAGGGTAGTGTTTGTATTGCCGTAGGAAGCATCACGGGTTTTACAGCTCCGGTGCCGGTACCCAGCCGAGAGCAGCAGTACCCTCTCGCACCAGAACCGTAACGCTGGTAAACGCAGACTTCGCTGCGTTGTCTTCCCCTCTCCGCCGAAGGCAGTCGCTGTTCATAGATCTTCCTGGTGTTCACAGTCACAGAAACGAACGCTTGTAGATCTGTCCGGCCGCGGGTCAGGCTACGTCCGCCTGGCCGATGGGC